TCTTCTTCTCTCTCTCTCTCTCTCTCCTGTTTTGTGATTTTTCATTTTTGATTTTTTCGCTGCGCTGCCTGACCTGCTGAAGTTCAGGCCGAGGTATTGCCGAGATCCGAGATCAGGATCTTGTTGATTGACTTCCGCACAAAGGCTGCTTAGCCGATCTGAGGGAACCGGGTTTTCCCAACAGTGGTATCAGAGCCCGAGTTCGACAGGTTCTGAGGGAGACGAGATGGAGACCAGTGGCATAACCAATGATGGAGACATGTTCAAGTTGACCGCAGATAATTTTACCTATTGGAGACCGATGATGGAAGATCATCTCTACTGCAAAGATTTACATGAGCCCATTATCCTTGATGAGAGACCGACAGACAAAACTGATAAGGAGTGGGAGATCCTGAGTCAGAAGGCGGTAGCCACGATCAGGAAATATATTGATAAAAGCCTCTTTAAGCACGTGTCCGAGTTCACGAACGCATATGAGTTGTGGACAAAACTAGAGTCCATGATTCAAAAGAAGACTCCCAGGAATAAAACATACCTGGTTCACCGACTTGTGAAGCTTGAATACAAGGACGACATGAGCATGATTGAACACCTGAACACCTACAAAGGTATTGTGAATCAGCTGTCAAAGGCTGATATGAAAATTGATGAAGAATTGCAGGCATTGCTGCTGTTTAGCTCGCTGCCAGAAAGCTGGGATACTCTGGTGGTGACCCTGAATAACTCGACTCCAGATGGAAAATTGAAGATGGATGTCGTGATAGACAGCCTCCTGGGGGAAGAATCCAGGAGAAGAGAACGAGGTACTCCGAGCACGTCTGAGGCCAACGTTGCTGAAAACAAAGGGAAATTCGACTCCCGGGGTAGAAGTAAAAGCAGGGGTAGAGGTCGTGACAGACGAGAAAAGTCCAGAGGTCGGTCAAAGCCGAAATATGAGTTGAAGTGCTTTTACTGTGGAAAGACAGGTCATAAGAAGCCAAACTGCTGGACCCTGCAGAATGATGAGAAGAATGGCTCTGTGAAGCCGGATCAGATTATTCCCAAGAAGAGGAAAGACAAGAGCACCACTGCGGTGGCTGCCAACCCGGATGCCGAGATATTCCTCCTTGGTGAGGATAATTATTTGAATGTTGCATATAATGACTGCACCTGGATTGTTGACTCCGGTGCCTCCTTCCATGTTACTCCACACAAAGGTTTTTTCTCCTCTTACCGAGGTGGTGATTTTGGAGTCGTGAAGATGGGAAATCAGGTGACCAGCAAGATTGTTGGTGTCGGTGATGTAACTCTGACCACAGATGTAGGATGCCGACTTGTGTTGAAAGATGTAAGGCATGTTCCTGACATGCGTTTGAACCTAATCTCGGTAGGCAAACTTGATGATGCCGGGTTAGTGAACTACTTCGGTAGTGTTAGATGGAAGCTGGCCAAGGGAAACTTTGTCATGGCCCGAGGTAAGAAGGAAGGCTCCTTGTACGTGATGCAAGGAAAGATCAATGGCGGAGAAGCCAATTCTGTCCGAGATGAACCTAGCTTGGAGCTATGACACAAGCGTCTCGGCCACATGAGCGAGAAAGGGCTCCAGATCCTGAACAAGAAAAGATTACTGATTGGGTTGAAAGGCCAAGCGCTAGAAAGTTGCAGCATTGCCTAGCTGGAAAGCAGCACTGGGTTTCTTTTGTGAGACCAGATCAACCAAGACGACGCAGGTATATTCTTGACCTCGTCCATACTGATGTTTGCTCAATGTCGGAAAGATCCCTTGGAGGAGCTCAGTACTTTGTTTCATTTATTGATGACCATTCCCGCAAAATGTGGGTATATTTGTTGAAGTCTAAAGACCAGGTACTCCAATCCTTAAAAGAATTCCATGCAATGGTTGAAAGGGAGACTGACAAGAAATTGAAGGTGGTCCGATCTGATAATGATGGTGAGTATTGCGGCCCATTTGATGCATACTGCAGAGTGGCCGGGATTCGACTTGAGAAGACGCCCCCGAAGACACCTCAACTGAATGGACTGGCTGAGCGGATGAACAGAACTATTGAAGAGAAGGTCCGAAGCATGTTATCCAATGCCGGATTGTCGAAATCATTCTGGGGAGAAGCTATCAAAACAGTTGTTGACTTGATCAACCTCTCACCATCACGGCCGCTTGAAGAAGAAATTCCAGAAGAAGTCTGGACAGGTCGGAATGAGTGAAAGGCTGCAATCAAAATAAAGGAGTTGATTTTGAGGAGATTTTTTCTCCTGTGGTGAAAATGACCTCGGTCCTAACCGTGTTAGCCATGGCGGCTTCGATGGACCTCGAGGTAGAACAAATGGACGTGAAGACGGCATTCCTTCACGGTGATTTAGAAGAAGAAATATATATGGAGCAACCTGAAGGATTCCAAGCTTCAGACCAAGAAGACTTGGTATGTCGGTTGAAGAAGAGTCTCAATAGCTTGAAGCAAGCACCTCGGCAGTGGTACAAGAAGTTTGAATCATTCATGACTGATCATAAGTTTGAGAAGACAGAAGCCGACCACTGCGTATTTGTGAAGAGGTATGAGGCTGGAGATTTTCTGGTATTGTTGTTATATGTTGACGACATGCTTATTGTAGGGAAAGACAAATCGATGATAGTCGCCCTGAAAAAGGCGTTGAGTTCGTCCTTTGCAATGAAGGACCTCGGCCCTGCAAAGCAGATACTCGGAATTAAGATTATCCGAGATAGACAAAAGAAGCTACTGTGGCTGAGTCAAGAGAAATATATTGAGAAGATTCTGAAGAGATTCAGCATTGACAAAGCCAAAACAGTGAGCACCCCCCTTGCCGGACACATAAAGCTGAACCAGAAGCAATGTCCGAGATCTGATGAAGACAAAGATGAGATGATGAAGGTCCTGTACCAATCCGTCGTCGGAAGCTTGATGTATTCAATGGTTTGCACTAGACCCGACTTGGCGTATGCTGTTGGAATGGTAAGCCGGTATTTGTCAAACCCCGGCAAAGAACACTGGGAAGCAGTGAAGTGGATCTTCAAGTACCTCCGAGGTACGACCGACTTATGTCTCTGATTTGGAGAAGGAAAAGCCGAGTTGCAAGGCTACTCGGATTCTGATATAGGGAAAGACGCCGACTGGAGGAAGTCGACTACAGGATATTTGATGAGATTTGCCGGAGGAGCTGTCTCTTGGCAATCAAGACTTCAGAAATGTGTTGCACTATCAACAACTGGGGCTGAGTACATTGCCGCTACTAAGGCAAGCAAAGAGATGATGTGGATGAAGAAGTTCCTCATGGAACTCGGCCATGATCAAAACAAGTACGAGCTGGGTTATGACAATCAAAGCGCAATCCATCTTGCGAAGAATTCGACCTATCACTCCCGCACTAAGCATATTGATGTAAGGTATCACTGGATCCGGGATGTGGTGGAAGGTGGAGAGCTCGAACTCGTCAAGGTGCACACTGACCAAAATTGGCCCGACATAATGACAAAGCCGGTTCCAGCAAGAAAATTTGAAGACTGCTGCGAAGGAGCCGGGTTGATGTTGAAGCCGACGCATTGAAGTCGGAGGGGGAGATTTGTTGGGCTTCCTCCTTCAATGCTAAGCCCAAGCCCATTTGAGGGATTTCCTAAACACCCTAACCCTAATTTCCACCTCCTCTATATATACTCATTAGTTGTGGGTGGAGGCTAGGTCATATATGAGAGAATTTTATTTGACAGATATTTGAGAGAAAATTGTTTGAGCAAAGCTTTATGCTTTGCATCTGAGAGATCTCTAGAGAGAGTTTGAGTGAAACATCTCTAGGGTAGTTTGATTATCACCATTGTTGGAGAGGTTGAGTTAACCACCACATTGGTGTATTTGATTATTTGTAACCATTATTTTCATAGTGGATTTTTGATCTGGACTAGGTTTCGTGGGTTTTTACTTCTTCATTGGAGAAGGTTTTCCCACGTTAAATCTGGTTGTAATCTTCTTCTCTCTCTCTTGTTTTGTGATTTTTCGTTTTTGATTTTTCCGCTGCGCTGCCTGACCTGCTGAAGTTCAGGCTGAGGTATTGCCGAGATCCGAGATCAGGATCTTGTTGATTGACTTCTGCACAAAGACTGCTTAGCCGATCTGAGGGAACCGAGTTCCCAACAAAATGTACTATGTGCACCAAACATAAAAGGGGGAGGAAGACTAACGAGGATAAGATAGAAATAAAAGAAAAATAAAATTAAAGAAGAAAGAAGAGGAATGGAACAAGAAGAAGAGAGAGAGAGAGACTAAGTTAAGTCAAACGTTAAGGTTCTTGATTTACATGATTTGTAACATTATTTTTTAAGAAAAGAAAAAACTTGTGCAAAGAACTCCCAATCAATACTAGAACCATCATGGTGACCCTTAATTAAAGGAATAAATGAATAATTTTTTTTCACATCGAATTCTAGTAATTTTTTTTAAAAAAATAAAATAATAGATCCTATTTTTTTGTCTGAGACAGAGAACCTTTTTCTACCGCCACTACAGAAAAACAAAACCCTCGTAATGATTAAAGTTGGTTTTTTTTTAAGTAGTTACCATTAAGACTAAAATGAAAAAAGGGAATTAAAATGTTCAAATAAAATATTCCAGTAAATAAAAAATTGAAATCACTTCACATGATAATGAAAACAAGAATGTCAAATTTCTTCCCTTTTATGTCCCTATAATTCACAACCTAATTGGAATAACTTCGGGAAAGTGTTTGATTTCTTCGTCTGATTCCCATGTTAACTTCTTAGGTGACAAACCTTTCCAGATCATTTTAGTTAAAGGGATTTCATTCCCTCTTTTGGGCATATATCCTTGTTTCATTTTTAACTACAGATAAAAAATTCATATGGTGATTATATACCTCAAACTTCACTCCATACCAGTAATAAAACTACTATTGCTAACATTAAGTCATTGGTCATGTAGTTATATTCATATGGCCGAAGTTTATTTAATATCAAAGGGCATCCTAGGCCTTTCTTAAATGCGTCACAATACAAAGTTATACTTAGAATAACGGACATCAAATCAATAGGTGCTTTGCAGCGATGGAATTAGGGGGGGGGGGGGGAATTGACCGATACTTGCTAAATAAAAATCCACATTTTCTGTCTAAAATTAATATGATGTAATGACTCATCCACTTGCAATGAAACTGACAAAATTCTCATTTCCTAGCCTTAAGTCAATACAATTTTTTGTCCAATTTAGTGTTATTCTGGGATCAATTTCTCCATAAGCGACCCCGCTGCTTCTGTTCTTGCATTCTCCTGAGTCATTTGGAAACATCCAGAACGAAAAGGTTAATTGAACAGCACAAGATCAATGAAGCTATAGGAGACAATGCTAGTACCACACTCTTTTCAATACTCTATTAATGAGTGAGATCCCATGCTGACCCACTAAATAACCTGGACCTACTCAGTGGCATCGGCATGAGATTTCACCCAAATAATAAAGGATGCTAAAAAGAGCGTCAGAGAGTATGTTGCTAGCAATAATATAGAATAAAATAGATCTATTGACAGAATTTCATCATGTATTAATAAGGAATAAATATACTGCCTCAACAAATAGAATCAACTTCGCATCCAATGTCCAAGGAAGGAGGCCTTTGAGGCTTGTAACATCTAGTACATACTAATTCAATGCAAACAAATCCACAAATGAAATTGATTTGACACTTGGAAAAAAGTTCCCATATAACATTTGTCAGACACCCATGCTAGTGTCTCTGATCTCTCACATTGCCCTTTTTGGTATTCGCCCATTTACATACGTGGATAAGAACAGAAAGAAAATTGCAACACCAGTTTAATTCCCATATCCATTCCAAGACAGTTCCTCACACCATATCTACCTCATGCCATCCCAGAGAGGAACAAAAAAAACAGGGAACAGAATCTATAATAAAGAGAAGCAAAGAGGAAGGAGAGAGAACATGGCATACTCAACATACAGGAAAGGCAGAAAGATTTAAAAATTAAATTAAAAAAAAAAACTTTTTATTTACACACATAATAATTAGACCAGAGATGTATAAATAATGTTTAACAAAAATCCATCTTCAAGTTCTGTAAAGCTTAAAAGTACCAAACTTCAAATGTTACCTCTGATGATCTTTGGAACGCCTAATGAATTCAGACGGAATCTCACACCCCTGGTAAGATGCCAGCACTGGTCTTATATCAGCTGGACTACTACGGGCAACAACTGCACATAGAAAATGAAGGAGGCAATACAATTTGTGCAAGTATAAAATGTCACAGAAAGAATTTCAAACATAAATTCATTGTTTGAACATATCTTATGGGAGAGCTTACACTCAAGAAATGGTATAAAATCTAAAAGAGCTGTGTCATCTTTATCATGCTGCTGCCATGGCTTAATAGGGACACAGTTCTCAGATTGAAGGCAACCTTCCAAAGCATGGCCACTTAAATAGAGAACTTTTGCTGGATTTCTGTTTAGCTTTGAAAGATCCTGCCATGTAAGGTGAACAAAAGGAGAACATCTGAAACACCACTACAGTCCAATAGTCTCAAAATAAAGTAACAAGATTGAACAAGCAACACTATACTGTAAGTTTATTATCTTCTTCTTTAAAAAAAAAAAAACCACTCCCCGTTAAACCCGACCAGCGAGTGTAGGGTGGAAGAAATCCTTGTACGCAGCCTTACCCTTGCTAATTCAAGTCAAATTATTATTCACTAATACATCACAATCCATTATTCTTGTTAGAAATAGTATAGAAATAGTATTGTATTTTATTATTATTATTTTATTATTCTAGAAGGTTAATTAGGCTTAGCCCATTAGGTCATTTAACCTATGAAGCACCGATACATAAATATAAAAAAATTCGACATATTTGATATGCGTCCTGACCGATTCGCTTCCGATACGGATATTGCCGTATCAGATTGGGCAAAGGGTGACGATACGGTCAAAGGGTGGCGTGAACGGCGAACGACTTGCAGCTGCAGCAGTGGCGTGGATGGCGCAGTGGGGAAAGAGACGAGGTGGTATGCGCGGTGGCAAGATGGTGTGGTGGCTGCGGAGCGAAGTGATGGTGATGATTCCGGCGATGGTGGCACAATCACCAGTGACAAGCGACCAGATCTATGATAAGAACATTCCACCATGGAATATTTGGTTTGCTGCACTTTGTATCTCCGTCGAACAAGAGATATGAAGATAAAGATATAAGATGTAGAAAGATTAAAAAATGACAAAAAAAAAAAAAAAGCAAGCTAAGGTTTATGGTGGGGTCCAAACCAAGAATATGGAAGAAGATTCTAGAAGGAAAAGCAAAAATGTAAAGGTAAAGATGCTAAAGGTGCTGCTTGTTTATGTTGACTTTTTATATTAATATTTTTTTTTATTATAAAAGAAATAACTTTATTATTTTCTTATAAAAAAAAACCAGCCAGTGATTAATGGGCTAAATAATGTGACTAAGTCCACATTTTGGGTTTTTGAAAAGAAATCACACAATCAACCCCAAATATCACATCTTGAAATTTGACACGGTTTAACTGCGTGTGGATAATCTATTATTTGTTGTTATGATTTTTATTTTATTTATTTTTTTAATGTGAAATACATTCTTTATACTAAAATATTATTTAATACTAAGACGTATCAGAACGTATCGAAAATATTAGTCTTTTTGAAGTAACGCATCGACGTCCCGTATCGGGAACGTATCGAAAACACCGTGTCGGTATCGGTGCTTCATAGCATTTAACCTCTTTAAATAGAAGACTCTTGTACAGTTTTATACATTGTTGAATACAATACATCCATACTCTTGAGTTGGTACCAGAGCTTGTGTTCTAGGATTCCGCAGACAAAAAAAAAAAAATTGTGATCACTATTCATCGCAGTACTGTTCACGGTACTATTTATCACCGGAAACACTGTTCTGGCATCCTTGCTCGTTTTTGTCTCCTCTTTTCAGAACTGGTCTCCGTTCGTTGTTTTTACATTTGATTTGTGATGGAGGGCTCAAATAATGCGCTCAAAAACACTAGCGGCGTCATTCCAATACTATCCCATCCATTACAACGATGAAACTGACAGGATCTACTACTTACAAGACCTGGTCTACCTCCGTTAAGATCTAATTTACTTGTCGGGGACACGGGAAAATTCTCACGACCAAGTCTACCGATATTCCAAAGGATCAGATATCTCGATGGAAAAAGATTGATGCATAACTGCTAAGTATCCTTTGGCAATCAATTGATCCGGCAGTTATAGACATTTTCATCCCCTTAGAGACCTGCTATGACGTATGGGAGGAAGCCAAAAACCTCTACACCAAAGACACTCGGCAGCTTTATTCTAGTGTTTCTCAGATAATGGAATTGCGAAAATTACCAGATGCTCGAATGGAGACTTATATTGGTAAGATTCGCTCTTTGATGCAGGAATTCTTAGCTATGTTACCTCATGTTGCATATGCCTCTACGTACAAGAAGCAGGTGGAGCGCTTCTTTATGGTCGTAACCCTTTCCAACCTTTCAGAGGAGTTAGAAAGTGTTCGTGAGAATACTCTAACCAGTGCTGAGACTTCTAGCCTGTCACAAACTTTCCAGCGCCTTCTAAATCGTAAGGATAAATCAGCAGCACCCATACATGTGTCAGCCACTGATTCAACTGCATTTATTTCTCGTGCCAATGATTTCAATTGGAACAGTGACCGCGGACGCGGCCGTGGACAGGGCGGCCACGAACAGAGGCCTTGTTGCAATTATTGCTAGAACCTAGGACATTTTGAAGAACGTTTCTATAAGAAGTATCCTCACTTGAAGCCACCAACGGTTAACTTTACTCAGACTGATGCTACACCACCTTCTACTGGATTAGTAACTTTTTCGAGTGCCGACTATGAGGCACTTCTTAGGAAGGTTTCTTCCCAGCCTCCTACTCAAGACACTGGTAATCATGTTGCTTGTCTTTCTCAATCATCTCTTGGACCTTGGATAATAGACTTAGGTGCTGCTAATCACCTTTGTGGTAAAAAGGATCTCTTTACTTCACTTTCTTATTCTAATAATCTACCTTCTATTACTCTTGCTAATGGCACTAAGGCCCCTACTGGTGGAATTGGGCAAGCCAACGCAACTCCCTTTTTTGACTTTAACCTCTATTTATTATATACCTGGCATTCCCTTCAATTTAATCTCTGTTAGCCAGTTGCACTATTATCTTCTCTAAACAATCTTTTTCTATGCAAGATCTAGATACAGGGAAGACGATTGGAGCAAGCAGTGAGTCACGAGGTCTCTATTATCTGACTGCACCACCTTCTCCAGTGGCGTGCTCTCTCACAGTCTCCTGAACTAATCCACAATCGTCTGGGTCATCCAAGTCTTTCCCAACTTCCAACATATGGTTCCTTTTTTATCCAGTCTTAAATCTTTAAGTTGTCAGTCTTGTCAGCAAGGAAACCACACTCGTTCCTGCTTTGCTAATAGAGTCAATAAAAAAAATGATGCTCCTTTTTCTATTGTTCATTCTGATCTTTGGGGTCCGAGTCGAACTATGTCTGTCTTGGGTTTTCCGTATTTTGTAACCTTTATTGAAGATTTCTCCCGTTGTGTTTGGGTTTATTTAATGAAAAACCGTTTTAAATTATTTTCAATTTATCAAAAAATTTGTGCTGAGATAGATACTCAATTTGACGCTTCTATTCAAATCTTGCGCAGTGATAATGTAAAAGAGTATGTGTCTCTTGAATTTTCTAATTTTTTGGAGAAACATGGGACGTTACACCGGACCACCTGTCTGCACACTCCACAACAAAATGGAGTAGCCGAGCGTAGAAATAGACATCTGGTTGAAACTGCACGTACCCTTCTAATTCATATGAATGTTCCACTCTGTTTTTGGGCAAATGCTATTATCACCTCTTGCTTTCTCATCAATCACATGCTCTCTTTCGTGCTAAATAATGAAGTTCAACATAGCGTATTATTTTCAGGAGCGTCTTCCTATCCTCTGCCTCCACATGTATTTGGATGTACTTGCTTTGTTCATGATCTGACTCCAGGAAAAGACAAATTAACATCCAAAGCCTTCAAGTGTATTTTCCTTGGATATACTCATTTTCAAAAGGGGTATCAGTGCTACTCTCCTGACCTCAAGCGTTATATTTTTCCACTAATGTCACTTTTCTTGATCAACAACCTTTTCATTCTATCCAGTCTCATATATCACAAGTTGATCAGGTTCTTCATGTTCCTTTTCCTGAATTGTCTTTACCAGCTGCAGATGACTCTATCCCAGAGGAGCGACCCCTTACCTCCATCCCCGAGGACTGCCTTTTTCTCACCTATCAGCGTCGTCATACTGCGCCTCCTGCAGACTTGACCCTTGCTGATTTATCGCCTTCTCCTGTCAACTCTTCCTCTTCGGATCCTCCATCAGAGATTACTCCCATTGCCCTTCGCAAAGGTATTCGGTCCACTCGTATCCCTCATCCACTTTACAGTTTCTTGAATTATGATAAACTTTCTTCACAGTATTTTACTTTTGTTTCTAGTATTTCGTCTGTTTCCTTCCTAAGACCACAGGTGAAGCACTATCTCATCCGGGTTGGGGCCAAGCGATGATTGACGAAACGACAACACTTCACTCCAATGGCACATGAGATCTTGTTTGTGCTCCTCCCAGGAAGTCAGTTGTCTGTTGTGGATAGGTATTCACAGTCAAAGTTGGTTCTGATGTCACTGTTGATCGCCTCAAAGCTCGATTAGTGACCAAGGGATACACTCAGATTTTTGATCTTGACTATGGGGATACTTTTCCTCTTGTTACCAAGACGACCTCTGTTCACCTGCTTCTTGCACTTGTTGTGCCATTCATCACTGGCCCCTTCTTCAGCTTGATATCAAAAATGCTTTCTTACAGTGTGACTTGCAAGAGGGAGTATATATGGAGCAACCACCAGGTTTTGTTGATCAGGGGGAGAGTTCTGAAATGGTATGTAAGCTTCGTAAATTTTGATATAGCCTGAAGCAGTCTCCTCGGGCCTAGTTTAGTCGCTTTGGTTCCGATGTTCAATCGTTCGGTTTAACCCGAAGTAAAGCCGATCATTCTGTCTTCTATTGGCATAGCTCTTTTGGCCAGCATCTATCTCCTGGTCTATGTTGATGCCATCATTATTACTGGCAGCGATCGAGATGGGATTGATCAGTTGAAGAAGTACTTATTCAAACAGTTTCAGACCAAAGATCTTGGCAAACTTCGATATTTCTTAGGAATTGAAGTGGCACAGTCTAGGCAGGGCATTTCCATTTGTCAGAGAAGTATGCACTAGATATCCTAGATGAGACTGGTATGATACACATATGGATCCTAATGTTAAGCTATTACCCGGACAAAGGGAGTCATTGGCAGACCCTGGTCATTACCGCTAACTAGTTGGAAAATTGAACTATCTTACTGAAACAAAGACGAACATCTCTTTTGCAGTTGGTATGGCAAGTCAATTCCTTGACTCTCCTTGTGACTCTCATTGGGATGCAATTATCAGGATTCTACGATATAGCAAAAAAGCATTAGGAAGAGGTTTATTATACACAAATAAAGGGAATGCAGAGGTGTCTACCTATTCAGATGCTGACTGGGCAGGTTCTCCTTCAGACAGACGATCCACCTCGCGGTATTGTATTCTCCTTGGAGGAAATTTGGTCTCATGGAAGAGTAAGAAGCAAACGGTGGTCGTCAGGTCAAGAGGCAATGGGAAATGCAACCTGTGATTTCATCTGGTTGAAACAATTGCTTAAGGAACTACATCTCTGTGAACAACGGCCAATGAAACTCATTTGTGACAATCAAGCCGCATTGCACATATCCTCTAATCCAGTCTTTCATGAGGACCAAACATATAGAAATTGAGTGTCACTTTGTTAGAGAGAATATTCAATCAGGAGAGATCGAGACAGCCTTTGTCAATTCCAGTTATCAACTTGCAGATGTTTTCACCAAGACTCTTAGATATCCCTGAATAGATCATATATGTAACAAGCTGGGAACTTAAGATATATACACACCAGCTTGAGGAGGAGTGTTAAAAATAGTATAAAAATAGTATTGTATTTTATTATTATTATTTTATTATTTTAGAAGGTTATGTGGGTTTAGCCCATTAGGTCATTTAATCTCTTTAAATAGAGGACTCTTGTATATTTTTATACACAATTGAATACAATACATTCATACTCTTAAGTATTCTTTACTATTTACTGTTGTTTACTATTTAATCTATTATTGCCCCTGAAAATCGAGTTTGTGTCATGCTCATGCATTCAAAATTCAAGGTGAAGACTAAATTACATTGGGACTTCATTATACTAATTTTCGTGAAGCCACACCCAAGAAAGAACAATAAGAAGACGAGTATAATCTGAGAGAATAACACAAGAACATGAACTCAAACCTACTCTGAAATGTTTCCCATCCTGATACTTGGTAGCTGGCCTGGATAGCCTATATCTTATGCAATGCTTGGTATCCAGCCTATCCAAAACGGGGTCCACAAACTGCAGAAATCAACAAAAGCAGCAATATATGAATGAATATTCATAATAAGAAAATAAGTATTCATTCAGAAAAGGGCGAAAGAAAGACAGATTACCTCTTTTTGTTCGTCAGTATACACAACAATTTCATAAAACTGAGCTAGATGTTCCAAGAAAGCATCAACACCAGGTCTCTTAAATGTCTGCCAGCCTGTATCTCGCTTTACATATCAAATAGAAATATAAAATACTCAACATTATCCACAGAAATCTCTAATAAATAAGCACTCCTGAACCACTAAGAGGTCAAACACTTTTGTGTGACACAGAGAAATTTGTTAATAAATATGACATTACAAATAACATTGTTCATTTAGAAGATATTTCATCTTTTCTCTACCAAAATAAGTACGTTGCGTAATTTACATATGAAGCCTTACCGTCCAGACATAGTGAATCAATGTCTCATTGAGATCTAGAACAAGTGTAAACACATGTTTCTCCTGAGGAAGCAAATCTGGAAGGAGCTTGTCTGTGTACGGTTCAGTATAATTCTAAAATGAAGCAAGAAGAGCAAACTATTAAATAAAGGTTCTCATTAATTAAAAAACAGATCAAAAGCAAAAGTCAGAAGAAAAAGTATGCACATACCTGAATTTGTTCTTCAATTAGCCTTCTTGCATCCAAATAAAGCTCCATTGCTTTAACAGGCACTGAGATATTACATACTAACGCATCAGCATGCTGTTAATAATAAACAAATAATTAATAAAACTAATAAGGAGTTTAGCACAAAACAAAGCATTGTCAAGGAAAGCCAAAAGAATCGCCAATTTAGAGGATCGCCTATCATTTTTTACATTAAAAGAATAGCAGAAATACAAGAAAGAATTGAGTCTCAAACATTATAAAAATTGTGGATAGGAGTGTTGTCAAGGAAGATTGATGATAAAGCCCAGGGAAAGCCAATCTAAAATAGGATTTCCCGATCAACAGTCCTCCCAAAAGTTGACATGAGAACCATTACCTACCTACCTTAACAGAAAGCAAAGACTTAAAGGTAGCATAAAAAGAGAATTAGCTACATTACACTCAGATAATTGAAATGTACTTATAATAAAGTACCTAAAAGCTATAAATTTCAAGATAATCATATAAATATTTTGAACTCCGTTTTGTGCTTGGGTGTATGTGCGGGGGAAGGAGGGAGAGCTTGTTCTATTGCTTATGCAGTACAGAAATAAAAGTCCCACAAAACAGCAAGACTCTCCTTCTTTTGAGAATGCTTAGAGCTAATTGTTCTCAAGTTAAGTACTTATATATATATATATATATATATATATATCCTCAACAACATCGTCAACAGCCACAATCAAACCTTATTCTATAAGGCCAGGTTGGTTGCAAGGATCACTGACACCAGCGGGCTCTATAAAAAATTAAACATTTTAGCAAAACTATTTAGAGCAAAGCCTTTTACATTTTATTTTATTTTTCCTAAAGTTTCCTTCAGTCGTCCTCTACCCCTTTTATTCGCACTATTTTTCATTTCATCCATAGTTATTAATGCCGCTCTATAGTGCTCCGGTTGCTCAAAGCAAAAGGTCCCTGCGATTCCCACTATGTGAAGCTACAATTTGCCCTAGCGGCCACGATAGCTGCCGAAATTGCAGAAAATCGTGATGAACAAGGGTGGAACCCCTTTTTTGCCTGTGGTTCTAGGGTTCCAACAATCAGATTTTATAAGCAGTTTGGTCTTTTTGCAATTTTTATCATCCCTTCACATGTCTCCTGCGCAAGTTCACAACTCACTCAAAATCGAAACCCTACAACCCCAACTCACAACAATCCACCAATAGACAACGCTACCACTGTCGTCGACCCTCCCGATCTAGGCACAAGCGACCGGACCCTTTTCTAGCATCAATCCTTTTGGCGACTGGAGTTTAAGACAAAAATGAAAACCTTTTCTTGCACATGTGCTATTCTAATTAGTTCCGTTTAGAAATATAACATAAAATATATCAATTCATCTATTTTTACTTAACAACTTAAACTTTTGGGTTAATTGGTTCTTGACATAGTATTAGAGTTTTTGTGACAAAGCGGTCCAGAGTTCAATCCATGCTGCCCCTATTTGTACTAATAATCTTTCAGTAAATATTTTGAAATTTCTTAGCACAGATAGGTGGATCTGTGCATTTTCTACCCTTCAAGTCTAACACGGAGGTGTGTAAGAACTAAGAAATATAATATGAAATCATTAATCTACCTTCACCCAAAAGTTTAAGCTTTTGGTTTAAATTACTTCCGTTGCTGAGTTCCATAAAATTCGAAACTCTACATTAACTAATTTTTCCGTTAACCTTCTCTCACTAGTTTCTTTTGTTGCATCTCGGGAAACTGTTTGTCGTCATCTCTTTGTCTTGTCGTCTCTCCGGCAACTTTCTCTGATTTCCCGCTGCTATGTTGTCATTTTGGAAGCAGGCTAGCATTCTAACTTTTCTAGCACCTTTTATTCTAGCATGCCCACACTCTTCTCTCATTAGATCTAGCCCTTTATGTCATTGTTTGTCTCTTTTTCGATGCCAACTTAGCATTGAGAGAAAGAAAATTGGAAGTTGCACTCTAGTCTTATCAAATTGCCCTAGTTGCTGCCTGACCTCGTCAGTCTTTGTCCAATATGCAATTTGGCCTTGTCAGTCTTTGTCTCAGTTACTTCGTAGGGCCGTTGGATTATCACAATTCCAATATGGCCCCGTCGGACTTTCTCCTGGACATTCTTTGGTAGAGTCTCCTAAGTTTTTGAATGGTTGAAGCTTTTGAATGTTGTTCTTGATTAACTTGGAGAAGTTTTAGTTCATGCTATGTATACTTGCTTGCCACGACATTTCTGCTTTTGGTGATTCAGGGAAAATCCCTTCTTCCTTGATTACACAATATTTCAGCTAGCTCTTCAAGCTGATGATCAATCCAGCCATCTTGCATCGTTGCCTTTCCAACAATTTTCATCCCTCGAACATCTGCAACATACCTGAGTTGACTTGGCAACCATGTTTGTGGAGGCCAAGTCAATTAGCTATTTTTTTCATTTTCAAATGTATATTTGTAATAAGCTTAAGCTTAGTAAGCTTTATCTTAAGGGGGGTGTTAGAATATCTAGATGATATTGTACAATATTAATATTATGTCTTAATATCATTTAGAGTATTATAGAGGATTTCTTACGATCAGTTTCCCTATTTCCTTTTATTTCATTATTTGTTTCCTTATTTTAGGAGTCCCCTATTTAATATAAATAGGGATTAGTGCTTTGTCCTTCGTAATCACTCAATCACCGCAAAACACATATATTTAGTCTTTATCATTCTCTCAATCTTTTCTCCTCCATTTAAGCCTAAAACCCTATTATTTCAACAGTTCCTTTTGAGAATTTGAATTTGAATAAGGAATATTGTAATCGATAGTATTAGATCCTTTCAATGACAATATTCGGAAGACTTCAATGAAGTTTTGTTGCGTCCTTTATGTTCCTTATATGAATCAATGTCTATATTTTTGAGCATTTACATGTGTAGTAATCTATAGAACAAGTTCATGCATAGGACTTCGTTGTTACTCCATACCACTACCAGCTATAGGGCTACAACATTTTTGAGGGTCGACTGCTACCCATGTTCAATAACTATGACTTGATCTAATTTCTCACTTTTAGGCGCTATTCATCTTCTACTGAGTTATCTAGTCTCTGTAGCCTCTATTGTCCTTCTTTTCAATGGAGCTTAAAATTTCCCTCCCTGCCCACACAAAAAGTAGGCAAACATGCACTTATCACACACAATTGCAAAGTTTCAACTGGCTAATTTCTCATGGAAAAAAAAAAAAAGAATGCGGGCTTATAATTGTTATCATTGGACAGTTCCAACTCTACAACATGCAAATTAGGTGTATCTGAAAATTTCGATTAATTAACTATATCAGAAAAGTATTTGCAGCTAATATTTACCCAAATGGCATTTTGTCTATGGAACCCACGTTGTGGCATTTTAACAGTACATTTGATGAACAAAATTAAAAAGAAAATCGGGCTTATCCAGAAACAGGGCCACTTTACAGAACCACAAAAAATAAATGTAGAAGCCATCCAAATCACCAATTCATCCATTCCATTCATATAACAGCAACACTCCAAGTAAAGAGAAAGGGACCACATAAAGACAAGAGAAGACAAGTAGTGTACATAATATAGTGCAGGAAACTGACCTGTCATTGCTGTTGAGTATAGCAACCCTTGAAATTTCTGCACAAAATATAGACTAGAGCATGTCACTCTATTAATTTTGGGGCCTATAAAGACATAGGCTAAAGAAACAATTGTAATATACAATATCAATTATCAAAAAGGGGTAGAGTCAAAACTAAGAAAAAGTAGAGGACCCCCGAAGACGAGAGATCCTAGTCCAAGGACAGGGGGTTTGTTAAAACTTACTAAAACCATCCATCATAACATTAGTTCTCAAATTCACTATAACAATGTAGAAGCTTGAAACACAATCTAGCAAACTAAAACCAAGAACAATGGTCAGGCACTCTCAATTACATTTTCTTTTTCTCTACGAGAAGAAGATCAGCTATATGCTACTCAACCCTAAACAGATGTAAATTTAGCCTGATACTGTTTTAACACCAAGGGCATTTTTAAGTAGCAACTTCAAAATCAATACATTATCTTCATACGGGAAAAAAAAAAAAGTAGAATGGACACAAGTTGATGAAATAGGGCACAAAGTAACATTCCAAATATTGTCAAACAAGGAAAACAACATTCCAAGAGTCATTTCAAATACCAAACTTATAAACCCCTATCATTTGGATTAAATTTACAAATCAACAATGTTGAAAACAAAAACAAAAAATTAGCAAAGAAGAATGAATGTCAAGGAAGCTTCAAAGTACTTAGTACTCACATCGAGGGCAGTAGCTCCATCACCAGCACCGTACTTAGCTGACTCACGGAAATACCTCGTTTTGTCATCTATTTCATCCAAACTGTAGGCTGCAAAATAAGTTCCAAATGATTTGCAGAATAGAACCAGTACACATTAAAAAAAATCTCCATTTTTATTCAATTCCATTTCAATTTAATTCAATAGCAACACTTATCATTAAAAATAAAAATAAAAAGGAAGAGGACATTTTTAATCATTTCGAAATCAATTTGATTCAGTAGCAATACCAAGCACATCAACAAATATTAAAACCGAAACAGTTTTAATCCTTTCAAAATCAACACTAAGCACATAAAATGGCCGCTCCGAATTTATTTATAGAAAAATTATATACCTAATAAACAAATTAGTTCCACATACATATACGTTAAAAATGGCTGCAAAATAAGTTCCAAATGAAATGCAGAATAGAACCAGTACACATTAAAAAAAAAAAGTTCATTTCTAATCATTTCCAAATCAACTTGATTCAATAGAAACTCTAAGCACATTAAAATAAAAAAATAAAAAATAAAATTTATTGAACATCACCGAATCAATCTGATTCAATAGCAACGCCAAGTATATCAAAAAGGCTGCTCCGAATTCAAAAGTTTTATTAAAAAAATAAATCAAATTTTTTTACGATCCCCAATAACAAAATTAAACCCCACAAAATATCAAACCATTGATCCCAAAATGGCTACTCTAAAGTTATTACGAAGAGCGAGATAGTAACAAGAGAGAGAGAGAGAGAGAGAGAGAGAAAACCAAACCGTAAGTGGCGTAACCGGCAGTGGCGGTGGCTCCGGTGAGTGCGGCGACGAAAGCGTACTTGAGGAAGTTCCACCGGCTCGACGGCGCAGCGGACGGCTCGGCGAGAGAAGCCGAAGCCGAAGCCGAATTCGAATTGGTGCAGAGGAGGCGTCGACGGTAGCAGTTGGATGCGCAGGAAAGGGCTCGCGATCGAAGAATCCCAAGAGACATTGTTTGATCTGCGTGTGTTCAAAGGGTTCAGGTAGGGTTTAGCATCAGTTCCTGTTTGGAGCTGCGATTTTCTTTGTTATTGAATAACACCAACCCCCGGCTCAATCCGGTTTGGAGCAGATTACTGGGTTTTGAGTTAAGCCGTTTACAAAGATTGACCGGTTCAATCCTGTTTTAGGCCTATTATAGGATTTTGAAAAGTGATTAATCTTAGAAAAAATTATCTTACCTGTACATATAAAAGTAGGCAAAAAAAATTTAAATATTACTTTTTTAATAACAAATTAAGTAAACATAGTCGTTTTGAAATTATTTATAAAAGGATAGCACCCAAACACGTCCACACAGGGCGTGAACGGGTGGAGAGAGACACACTCATATGGGACGTGAGCCATAAGAGATACATGTCCACATGGGGCGTGATCTCGAGGAGAGAGACACGTCCATGTAGGGCGTGAGCCAGGAGAGAGACACCCTAACATGAGGCATGTTCCAGGTGGCAATCCTACCCAATTATGGCGTGAGTGACCCAATTATACTCTATTTATACCCATCTCCTCTTACACTCTTCACAACTCTTCTCACTCGTTATACTTATACTTCTACATTCATTTGCACTTGTTTATTCATATATATTTTTTGTATTTTTCTTTATTATTTTTAAAAATGAGTTCAAATTCTGGTTCTATTCGTGTTGTTCTATATTATAATGGTAGGAAAGAGGAAGGTCATCACGGTGTTGTTTTTGTAGGGGAGAAAGGGCCACTACGTATTAAGCGGAACTCAACCGTTACGGAACTGCATTAGAAAATTCGCCAAAAATTATGTCTTGAAGAAAACCAATTGATCACTCTGGTCACGACAAGAGATTCTCCAAATATTGTCGATGACGAAGACGTAGATATGGTAATGGAAGAATTCTTGAACCAGTCTAGAAATGATTTTTTAGAGTTGTATGTGGATATTGTCAGAGCAGAGGATGTTATGTTACTAATGAGGTCTGTAAGAACCCATACCGTTAATTAAGGAAATTAATTAATTAAATATGAGAATTAGGAAATAATTCCATAATTGACCCCAATAATTATTATAAGGCTTAAATAATTATAGAAAGTGGTTAATAATGCTGAAAGTCGCTTTTCGAACGAAATGCGCAGATATTGGTTCTGCTAGTCAGTATACATGCGTACTGAAAAAGTATCCCGAAAAATTATAATAAGTGCATGATAATTCCTAGAATAATATATAGGACTTGTAAAACGAGTTTCAAGTTAAAATAATGAGAACTGGTGCCAGAAACTGATACTGGCTATGGAAAAGCGCGTACCGGAAAGGTACTCTGAAAAATAAAATAAAAATATGATAATTCTTGTAAAATTGAGTAAGTTAAGAATCCTGAGTTGGGATTAAAATGTTAAGCGTAGCAATTAATGTTATATTTGTGTGTTTAATGCTTAAGTGACTATATATAGGCTTGTTAAGGCACAAAACCCTAGACATTGCTCCATTGGTGAATTTTTTGGGGGCTGAGTGTTGGTTACTGTTCCATTGCTCTTTCTTCACCATTTCTTGAGCAAGTTGCCTCCTTTTGCATTGAGTCTTCTCTTTTCTTCATCCTAAACACTTGGTTGGGATGAGGGTGAGCATTGTGAGTGAAAAGGCAAGCCATTTTCTGGGTTTGGGGACTGTCTTGGGGTACCTTGAGGGCTGACTTGTTGGGTTGAGTGTTGTGAGCCTTGATCATGGCCCTTTGAGGTCCAAGGAGTGATTTTTGGATGCTAGAACCAACCTTTGTGAAGGCATTTTCGTTTTCTGTATAAGTCAAAGTTTGAGGAGCTAATTGTGAGCTCCAAGATGACTCTTTCCTCTGTTTTAAGCTTTGGGGTGAGTTGCCTAACCTTGATCATGGGTTTTAATGTTTTAAAGGTGGTGTCTTTGCATGTAAATGAGTTAAACATGTAACCAACTGTTAGTTAAACCTAAATGAACATAAAAATGCATGCTTTGGCGTTCTGTAAATGATAAAAGTTGGACCTTTGGCTGGATTTTCGCGAAATGCAGAATCTGGGTTCTGTCGCGAAATATCTGGATATTTGGTTGTAAATATCCGGATATTGATATCCGGATATGGGGTCTTCATATATCCGAATATGGATATCCAGATATGCATATCCGGATATGATATGCGGATATCGACATATATCCGGAATTTATGGGTTTTCGATGAACAGTAGGGTGCTGTTCATACAGAGGTCTTGTATGGGTTTGTGGACCCTAGTTTTATTGAAGTGGTACTTCTGTGATAAATTATCTAAGTCAGAACTTAAGTGTTTTATGGCTTGTGACTTTGTGAGAAGCCTAAAGACGTAAACCGTAAAAGGAAAACGTAGTCTTTATGTTTATGCGAATGAGCTGTGTTTATTGATATAATTATTGGTCTAAACAGATTGTGATTGTACTATTTGTGGATGTTGAGCTGTGTGGACTCTTGGCATTGGATTGTGAGCTTGCAAAGTAAGTTTTCGTGTCCTCGGTTTAGCCATTGTTGGTTCCACCATGTCCCATGGGGGGATGGTTATATGCATGATGTTGTTTTCATGATATACTGATTTGTGAAATGTTGTTGAGCTGTTATATGCGAGTGCCTTTATGATATGCATGTGATGTTCCACCTATACGGTAAGCCTGAGTATGTGGTACATACAAGATGGTGAGGCTGTGGGTGAGGTGCATGCGGTATTCCTTGTACTATGTGTGGGTAATAGACGTATTCCTGCATTTCTCTGGCCAGTAGAATAGTTAAACACACATGACATGAATATCTGTTGCACTGCATTGAGTTTTGGAACTTATATTGAATTACTGCTTTTGGAACTTATATTGCACATGTAAGTGAGCTTGGGGTGGAAGATCCTTGAGGACCCCTTGTCTTACTGAGATTTCTGGTTTAGAGATCTCACCCCACGTTTGGGGAATGCTTATTTCAGGTTCAGGTAATGCGGGGGTTGAGACCTTTAGTGGCAGGAGGCCAGAGCTTAGCTGATAGATGTTACATGTTTATGCTGCTTATGTTGATATGCTGTTATGATTGGATGTTGGATCCTATTTACTGTCTTATGCTTTTAGCTTCAGTTTATGAATTTCTCTGTTGAGACTCTGTTGGTTATTCTGTTGATTTGGTGAGCATGGGGATTGTCCATGCCACATAGACTTGATTATGTCTTGTTTTATGTTGGAGTTGTATTAATGTATCAGGATTCTTGTCCGGACTACGTGTAATGGATCCGTGACATAGATACTCACTTTATCTATATTATGAGGTATTTCAGTTAGATGTCTTTTTGCAATTTACATACAGGCGATATTTTATGAAATTGATTAAGTAATCAACTTGGCTAAGTATAATGACGTCATAATTGAAAAGAAAAAGATATTCCGCATTTTTTAATTAAGCGCAGCTTAATACGATGTTATGTTAACAAACCGGGTATACACGGGGTGTTACAAGGTCAGTTGCTTGCAATTCTCCTCGCAATGCATCCTCATCTGCTGCTGCAGCTGTTAACATGTCTGAGAAAGATGAACATGACCCTACCTAGGTTATTGATGACGACTATGATGATGAGGAAAATATCGCAATGGAGATCGTCTTCTTGCAGAATATGCGAGTGCTTCGGACAATGACGAAGAATGTGGCAGGTCCGCTACTCAAATACAGCCATGGCATAATTTGGGAGAGTCTCGAATCGTAGAACATCACGACATGGCCTCGAGTCAAATACCATAACATCCTGAAGGTATGTTAGGAAACAACTTATATGTGCATATATGGTTTTGTTGATGTAATTAATTCTTGTTGTAACTATTATTACTTAGTACATGCAGGTGATGATGTTGTTACTCCTTTTTGGGCTGAAATTCCACATTATACGTATATTGATATGGATCATCCGAGTGAATAAGAATCATATACCCAGAGTTCGGGTTCAATCCAAGGTCTATAGCAATTAGGGGGAAAGTTGTTTGTTAACCAGGAATTTACATCCAAAAAAGAGGCTCAGATGGCAATTAAGTGCAACCTCATGAAGGAGCATCAAGAAGCAATTGTGGTTGAGAGCAAGCCTACAAAGTTAAGCATGAAATGTTGCACACATGAGCAGGAGGGTCAGGGTAATTAAACCAATGTATGCTGAAAATTGGAAGGTTACGAAATGGGGTGGGATCACAATTGCTTGAATGACCATATTTCTCAAGATCACAGACAACTTGATTCTGACGTGATTGCATCACTTGTAGTAGGTACGTTATTTCAGAATATTATGGTATATTTAAAAATTGGTTCATATACCCGTGTTTCTATTAATGTGTATATTACAATTTGTTTGTCAGAGATGATAAAAAAGGAACCATCAGTGTCAATTGCGTTGGTTCAGGAGAGGATCACTCATTCTTATGGATTCAAAATGTCATATAAAAAGGCATGGTATGCGAAGCAGAAAGCAATGACAATGTTGTATGGTGATGGGAGGAATCATATGCATATTTACCCAGGTGGTGTGAATATACGCTTCGTTTTTCACTAGATTTCTTTTATAATATTCGAACAAAGGATTGTTTTGTTGGGGAGGGGGGGCAACTGGTCCCTGGAAAATGCATATTTCATCGCATTTTTTGGACTTTTAGACAATGTTGTGAGGCATTTAATTTTTGCAAACCAGTGATACAAATTGATGACACTCATTTATACAAAAAATACAAGGGAAAGTTGTTGATTGCCACGGCTCAGGATGGACATAATGAATGTTTGCCACTTGCATTTGCCATTGTTGAGGGTGAGACATCGCAAGCTTGGTCATACTTCCTTGCCAATCTTCGCCTGCATGTTACGCAGGCGCAAAATATATGTCTCATTTCAGATTAGCATCCTAGCATATTATCAGCTGTAGAGAATCATCCTGGTTGGCTGCCACCGCATGCGTTTCATGTGTATTGCATTCGACATAAAAAACAGATATTGGGACTTACTTGAGTGACAGAGCTTCGCTGTGCAAAATGCTGCAGAAGAAATGTAGAGAGATGTTAGAGGTTATTTTTAGAGAGAGGGTGTGAATAGGGAAAATGAAAAAAATGGGTATTTATAGGCCAGGTGGAACACGCCCGACGTGTCTCTTTCCTGGCTCGCTCCCCACATAGGCATGTCTTTCTCCTCCAACTCACGTCCCATTTTGGCGTGTCTCTCTCCTCACTCACGCCCCACATGGGCGTGTCTCTCTCCTCCAGCTCTCGTCCCATGTAGGCATGTTTGGGTGCTATACATATACTTGCGTAAATAATTTCAAAACGGTTGTGTTTTCGTAATTTGTTACTAAAAAGCAATATTTAAATTAATTTGCCTATAAAAGTATACGGGGTCTATGTTTATTTTTTTCTCTTTCTTCTCTTCATATGGTTCCAAATGAGTCCCACACACTTTTATATATATATATGAGATAATTTTATTTCTATAATATGATAAACATCATATTCTTTTTAAAAAATACTAAATTTATAGTGTCCATATTTTTAAAGGATTAAAATGAATTTTTTACATATAAGAAAATTTTCGAACCTTATTGTTAGATTTAATATATAGGAAAAGTGTTTATTCTTTTAAATGACACAATTTATATCTTTTCACTCTCACAAAGAGGTGAGACTAGGGGTGTTCGCGGTCTGGATTGGATTGATTTTGGAAGCAAAAACCATCTGATCCAATCTCTTCGGTTTGATCATATAATCATCCATTCGGTTTTGATTTTTTTTCAAATCCGATCCAATCCAATCATATTTTTTTCGGTTTGGATTGGATCGGTTTTCGGTTTTTTAAAATTCTAAAATTTATTTCATGATTATTGTGCAAATAACATCTTTTGTATATATTGGCTTCGTAATTTATTTTTTTTTGAAATACAAAAGCATTAGTAAACTATAATATAATTTTTTTAATTTTGGCAATGAGATATGAAGCTCTACAAAGATAAAATTTTGTTGATGAGATATGACTAGATTTTTTCTTGGTTTTTAGTTGATGGGTTAATGGGTCTTGGGTTTAGAAATTTTTAGGCTATGATTATGGAAATACCCAAGTTAGTAGAGGGGAATTAATATATTGGATAGGTTTGGATTGGATCGGTTTTCATCAACCCATCCAAGAACCGATCTAATCCAATTAAAATTTGCGGTTTTTAATCGGTTTTTGTTTTTTCGGTTTTCGGTTTATTCTGTTATCGATTTTTCAGTTCGGTCACCGCGGTTTGAATCGGTTTGGATCGGTTGATGAACACCCATAGGTGAGACCCACACCTTTATATTTTTTTGTCCACTCTCTCTCCTCTTTTATCTATCTCTTTCTCTCACTTAAAATGACACAACTTTACATCCTTTAAAATGATACACACTTTTCCTTAATATATAGAATAATATTATAATTATATGAAATGAGAATTAAGTGAAAGAGAATTAACAAATATGCATCTATATGTTTAGAAATTACGTAAAGTTATAAAAGAAAAAGTATATGTACAATTTTAATTTCAAAGTATATGATGATTATATTATTTCAACATAAAATTCATTTTTATTTTTTTTTACTCTTTCATCATTTTCCTCTTCCATTTGTGTATTGTTCCCATAAACAAAGATGAGGCATGAGTTCTTTATTTTATTTCTTTACTTATTTCCCTAAACACAATTTAAAACACCAGTTACCTTTAAAAATGATAATATTTATAGGAAAAACATACAATTATTGATTGTGTGGTCTTTAAATTAATCTTATATATTATATAACACGTCTCCGAAATCATAAATATATTTATGCTTTTTCTATGCAATGGGTTGGCTAGCAATCTATAAATAATTGCTTTTTTTAAGTAAATATCTATTTTAGTCCTTAGAAACTAGGTTGATACGAGTTTAGTTCTTAAAAAATGTGTAACATTAATTAAGTCTCTTAATTATAAATAGTGACATCAAAATCATTCTTTTAAGAATAAATTAATTTTATTTACTATTATTGAAAGATTAAATTGATGCGACTTATATTTCAGGAACTAAATTAATGTTAACTAAATTTTTAAAGGATGAAAATGATATATCATTTTCCCCGTGTTCCGAACTTATCTCGTTCAAGATTAACTTAAAATTAAGGACATATTTGATGTGATGTATAAAGTCTGATAGTGTAAGTTTATAATATACATTATGACATTTTTAGTTGTTTGGTGTGACCATTGTATAATATAAACTTATACAGCAAAATCCCTTAATATATCAAAACGATGTATAACTTAATTTGTCCTAAAGTGAAGGGATTAGGCCTGATAAGAGGTTGGTGATTTAACATCTTGACCAATGCAATTCTCAATAATTAATATATTATTTTAATATTAACATATTAAATCTTAAAATAAAAATTAATTTTTTAATATATTAATTTTAAAATATTGGATATTTTATTTTTATAAAAATTAATTTATTTTTTGGACACAATGATCAATAGATTTTTGTAAAAATTAATATTATATGATATTTTTGGAAGAACTATATAAATTCTTTATTAAAGGATATTTTTATTAAAAATATTTATTTTTATCTTATTTAATATTATATAGTGCATTACCAAATATTAGATGGTATTATCTTATACAATATATTATTTTATATAATATCTTGTCAAATGCTGGATAGTATTAAAATTCAACCAGGTCTTACACAATCAAACCTTATAGTATCAAATCTTATACTATCAGACCTTATCTTATACTATCTAGCAACATGCCCTAAAGAATTAAAGCTTGTGTATTCTTCTTTTCTTGCAGTAGTTTTCAACGTTGTTGTTAGGTATGGTGGAAAAATAACATGATGAGGCTTGTCAGTTGCCATGATGCAAAAGTGTGCATTACTTAGAATGCAGCTTCTGTGACAATAATGAGTGAGTTAACAAATAACTACTGAGTTGCTGCCTAATTTCAATAAAATCATGATAAGACTAACAGATAGAGAGAGTACCACAAAAATCATACTGTTGTTATTGTATTAGCTTAGATCTCAAGCCTCTGGTTGATAACAAAACCAACCACATTTAGCAAAGTGGCTTGGATTAATACCTAAGCAATCATCCAATAGTAGAGTTTGCACATTTTTTCCCCCCTTTCCTACTTCCTCAAAACTCACATGAAAACCACTTTTACATGTCTCAAAAATTAGTGAAAATGAATAACTATTCCCCAATTTGTATGTATGCAATCTTAACTTTACACTTTTGCAAATGGGTTGTTTCTCATACACAAATTCAAGTCTAGGAAACAGTTTTTTGTGTAAAAATTCTAAAATAAAACTACTTACAATCAACCAACATTCCTAGTATGGGAATTTACCATATAATTTGTGTCAGAAATAGTAACTTGAAAAATTGGCTATATGTCCCTTTCAAGTAGCTATATTCAATTATAACAAAAGCCCTGAATAGCAGGGAAGCTTTGGGAGTTGGGACAATCTCTGCCACATAATAATTTTCCAACCATGGATATTTTTGGAAATGAAAGAAGGCTATAGTGATATCCCCATTCCCCAGTGTTAAATATAAGGAGATCTTCATGGATTTAACATACCAAAATCCCCATCTCATAAAAACCTCCATTCAAAACTTTCTTTAGTTCCACTTCCATTTTGCACCAAAGTGGAAGTTATGGATCAAGTTAAGTCCCATAAAATAGCATCTTTGATTGAGAGCATAAACACTCATGACCATCTAGTTAAGCTTACCCAATTGTTAGTATCAGTATCTCTATTTCTTTTCCTCTTTTCTTCTTCTCCCTTGGTTACTTTCCTCCATCACTTCAACTTCTACTTCTCTACATTTTCTTTCCAACTGTTCAGCCACACTATAGACAAGAACTACATGTTTCTCCTTTGCAATGGGCTCCTTGTTTTTGTTGGAATCACCAGATCTTTATCTGGGCATAGTGGTGTTGATGAATCTTCTCAGTGTGTTGAAGGTGGTTCACAATCTCCATACTCAGATGTTGAGGTTAACAAGCCAATGTTGGTGGAGAAAACTAAGGAGCCTGATGAACACAATATTGAAGCAAATCAAGCAATACAAATCAAGTACTATAATCAAGAAGTAGAAGAAAAGATTGAAAAAATAATTTTAGAAGATGAAGAAGAAGGAAAAGAAGTTAACCAATCAGTTTTGAAAGAAGAGGAGGAGGAGCCACATAAAGAAACAGAACTATATGGTGCAGGAGATGAAGATGAAGACAAGGATTCAGAGATTAATGAGTTTATGATTGAAGAAAGGGTAGAAGAGGAAGAAACTAAAGAAGAAGAAGCAAACAGGTTGCTAAGCACTGAGGAATTGAACAAAAAGTTTGATGACTTCATTAGAAGGATGAAGGAAGAGTTGAGGATTCAAGCTCAAAGACAATTAATTATGGTTTGACTTAGATTAGTAACGATCGTGATCTTTTGTTTCTCCTAGGATTTCTTGGCCTAGTTGTTTATTAGCTATTCTTTTTTTTTTTTTTCTGATATAGTCGTACTCTATACAATTTTGTTGATTTAAATATTTCAAAAATTTAAATCTTTTACCATAAGGAGTGTATGTTAAAATGTAAATAAATAAAAAAAGTGTAGAATTTTAGATGTTTGAAAAAAAAAACAGTTCAGAATTTTATAAATACAAGAATCCAAGCATCTATGTAATAGATCATAGGAATGTAATATTTCACTATCTTGATTTTATCAGCTCCTAATATTCTATACACCTTCTAGAGAATCAAAATCCCAATTTTTACTTGTTCAAAAAAAAAAATTCCCAATTTTTAAATTATTTTTCTGTTTTTCTCCTCGTTCATATTTGATGTTGCAAGGACTAGACATGCACTATATATGAAATTTTGAATTATCAAATTATTCTCATTAAGCACATCACCCGATTTTTATTGAAGTAGAATACAAAACTTTTGTAAACGAAGTCTAGAAAAACTTCTCCATTCCCAATGATCTTTAAGGGGCAATTCGGGTTAACAGTACATGACATGAATATGGATATATTCAATATAAATACGATACAAGTTTAAAACACGTAAAAATCTTCGACACAAACACAATCCACTTATTTTGTATGTTGACACGAGATAATATGAATAACTTGTCAAGCTCAAAGTTTGTTGCTTGTTATGCAGGTTGACACGAAACAACACACAATGACATGAATAACCTATAAAAAAATTATAAATAAAACCCCTTCTGGGTCCCTAATAAAAAAACACGATCTTTATTTTCGTCCCTTACAAAAAAAAAGTCAACTTTTGATCTCTTTACAATTTCAGTTCTTTGAAAATATGATCTCTCAGAAATTCAATGAATAGCAAATTTTAGTTCCTAAAAAAGGACTAATATGGGTTTTTTTGTTTGTAAATGATGAAAGTGGGGACCGTATTTTTTATTAGGGACTCAAAAGAAATTTTACTCAAAAATTAATGAAGATTAATTTCATGATTGTGGTTAACACAAACTAACACAAATTTGAAAATGGGTCAACATCAATATATATTTTTCATGTCGTGGTCATGATATGTTCATGTGGTGTTGAAAATTGCCACCTTTAATGATCAATTGAGCAAATCGTATATGTGGAATAATTTGATAATGCAAATAATTTATGGATTTCATATTTTTGCTTTTGTTGTTTAATTTTTTTTTTTTCTATCACACTCATATAAAATTAGTGGGTTCTATTAACTTTTTGTTTTTAATATTTTCATAATGGATTGATTCAGTTTTACTTGAGTATGATAGAAACAATTATCTATACTAAAGTTGGAAATATTTTTCCATACTTTTATAGATCCATATATACTATCACAATTTTTTATTTTTTATTTTGCACAAGTTAATAAAAGTCAGATGCTTACTTCAGAACAGAAATGATGGCAGTGTTTGGCAAATTCTTTTTATGATAGTACCTGGTTATAGAAATAGACTTAGAAACTCAATGTATGTAGTTCAGTTAGCAATACAAGCTAAGTAGAATGAAAAAAAAATTGAATTTGATTCTCATCAAATATATTTTTGTAGAGGGGCGAAGAGTTTTAAATGTGACTAAATTCTGACTCGAGATTAGTCACATAACTAACTCAAAGAATTGAAGCTTGTGAAAATATTCACGATATGACTCAACTCAAAAAAATAATTAGGTCGGTAAAATAAATAGATTTAGAATGGAGGTAATAGTTTCGATTCTTTTATTAATAAAAAAGAGGTAATTTTGTTTATCAAAAAAAAAGAAAGAGGTAATTTGAATGTAAACGAGTGATTTAACAGGCCTCCACATTTAAGCAGTGGCTCAGTACTATGTTCACAGGAATCATGCTTAACTAATTAGTTGTTGAACTTGAAACAGCAAATACAACCACTTGCTTAATTATGTGTAGTTATATCATTAATGATTCTAGCCAACAAGTGGTGTGGAAGAAAACCTGATAACCGAGGTTTTTCAAATAATTGAAAAGGATTTGTGATTGTTTAGCAATGTCAAATCTGACTGATAGTTCAATCACTCAGGATTAGTTATGGATGTTACTGATAACTAAGAAACATAATACATATATGATATGACTCCCATCAATTTGTACTCAAAGTGCAAATTAGTGCGTTTATACGCAGTGAGGTTATATTAATAATTTTTTTTTATTATAAATTTACGAACTATATTATGTCTGACCGGTAATACTCTACTTATGAGTGTATCACCGGTCAAATAGTGTATATTTTGTAAAAGTTTGTAAATAAAAAATTTGTAAATATAATCTTCTCCTTATATACACACACACAGAATATTATAACCTAATCGAAGCAAGTTGGATTATTGAGAGAGAAAAAAAACCCTTCAAATTCAACCTCACAAAGGAAATTAAATAAGGAAATAAAAAAATAATATAACATTATAAATTATTTTAAATTATCATATAATTTGTAACTTTATCTCCCGAACATAAAAATAAAGGTGGATGGTCTCATTTTTTCTCTCGTTTTTTTTATTGGGTTCAACTCTTTTATGTGTGTATAGGAGATAAAATTATCTCATAGAAGAAGAAAAATAATCACATCATATAAATAAGTATTACTACAGCACTAAAATAGTTTAATCACTATAACATTTATTTGAAAGGTAAACATTTTTTTTAATAGCGTGACAATTATTTTTGAGTACTATAACAACCTCTTAATTAAAACTATTACACTAGCAACAAAAAAGAGAGTTTTGTTTTTAATTTCTGAAAGCAACCCAAAACCGACGAATTCATATAAGCCTTCACACTTATGTGATATAAAACCAAGTACCTTTCTTTTTCACTCCCCTTAGATAGATATTCATCACATAGAATGTTCCATGGGCCCTCTGTATCAATGTGTAGTCATCTTCGAAATTGAATGAACTCTTGTTTGATTTTCATCTTAAGTAACAAATTAATTTTGGTGGGTGAGATATGGAAGGACCCCTTCCAAAATACATAATAATATTAATAGTGAAGTCCTACTTAAGATATCTTCCCTCAGGTTAAAAAAAACATTAATGTGCTAATATGCTTGCGTAACTCATTGATATTAGATGTGCGGAAAAAAATAATCAAATCTTACTAAAATAATCACATTTTTTAACCAATTCAAGAACTGAAGTAATTTGTTAAATCAATTGATCAGCAGTTTGGGGTAAGAATTAATATGAAATCATATCCGCACTATAGAAAAAATCAAATAAATCGAACTTAACTATAAACTAAACTGAAACACATCATATTTTTTTTAACTAGTTTAAGAATTGAATCTTTTCTTTTAACCAGTTCAAAAGCTAAACCATTTTTTAAAGCCAGTTCAATTTACCCATATTGAATCACTTTTTTGGTGATTTTTTTATTTTATTTCACGATTTGTTACAAAAGAGATTATTATGGAAAAAGTTATATTTATAAACTTTTTGTTTACAAATTACGTTATGTCTAATTGGTAATACACTCTTAAGTAGAGTATTACCGATAAGACATAGTGTAGTTTGTAAATAAAAAAAAATTGTCCCCTACTCGATTATTATATGTCTCTGAACTTCAAAAACAAATGACACATCCATAAAGAGACAGAGCATTTGTGAGGCCTATATGTCTGCAACAAATCATTGTATCTATTAATTTAATTACAGCAGTCCAAACAAATGTCTTAACTTTTCACCTTACCCTAAAAAGCCAAATACATAAGATATACTGAATGTTCCCAATTAACCCTATTGTTACACACAGTGTAATATAGAAATGTCCAACATGCATTCACTTCTGTTCTGGATGCCCCAACCAGTTGGCCCATTAAAACAAGCCCAAGCCCCCTCCTTTCATCCATATCAGTTCCGGTGACCAAGGGTCACCAACCCTTCCTCTTTTCTGTCCCCACATAACTTATGCAAATCGGCAAGTGTACCGATCGTTCAAGTAATAAAATGATAAGTAAGTTATCGTCTCCACAGGGATTGTGAGCGAATATCTTATAAACGTCCTTTCAAGATATAAAACCCAAGTGATTTGAAGAACAATAGAAATTAAAGACAAAGACGTATTTTTGGATTTTAAAAATAAGAGAATGATGCAAAATAATTTGGATAAAAATATGAGAGATATTGCAGGCACTCGCCCTATGATCCCCTCTTTTTACTACGGATTGATTCACAATGCTCAATTAAAATAAACAATCAAACAATTTATCATCCAAACAATTATTAGCTAAACCCCAATTCCTTGCAAATTTAGCCCTTTAATCACAATTAGAACCCCAATTCCTTGCAATGTTTCAATTGAGATCAAGCATTACACAGATAAATTAAACGTTTGTAATCAAGAATGCGTCTATTCCTAGCACGCATGTTAATTATTATCCTACCCCCTTTCTGGACCAAAACCCTAATATTCCTATCTAGGGTTCTAACCCTCAGATTATCATTCAATACTAAACTGATCAGATTTAATATAAATGATAAGCAATACGCACAGAATAGGCATAAATCAATTAAATTAAAGAGCGAAAAGTAAACCAATCCATGAATAAACAAAAGGTTCACATAGGGTTTGTGACCCTACCCACAATGAAGGAAACTAGCAAGACATGGTCATAGCTGAATTACAATGATTCATAAAAGAAGAATAATAGCTGAATTCAAAAGGAAAAGAAAATAGTCTTCAAGATCAATCTCCGCCCAAAAAGCTCCAAAAGTTCTTCCCCCTCTTCGTCTGTTTTTTTCCCTTATCTTCTGATCCCCCTCCTTTTATTTTGCTCGCACGCGTTCAAATCACGGTGTCTTCCTGCTCGAAAACCGGCGCTAATGGCGCCGTTTTTGCACTGAATTTGAATTAATCCGCGCTGATGGCGCCAATCATACTTCTTCTGCGCTGATGGCGCGAAATTTTCACTGAAAATGCATTTATTCCGCGCTAATAGCGCCGCCCATCTGATCCAAATTTTCCTTCTGCGCAAATTCTCATTTTTCCATGCTAAATTCCTATGCAAATATAAACTTGAGTGAGAAATAACATTAAAAATGAAAAACTAACAATTAATCCATAAAATGTATTGATAAATATGCTCTTTTGACCTTAAAGCTTAGTATTTGAACTTGGAAAATCAAATATATTC